AAGCCCTTGCTGCCAAGTCGGAGCYAGGTCTTTAAGCATCTCTGGAGATCAGAGAAGTAGCGTATGGTAAATAGGGTTAGAGAGTCTTCAACTTGGTCTAAGCGCGGTAGATATTGCACAGACGCGCACTAGGGCATCGAGATCGGCTGTTGTCGAACCTACCACAGGTATCACACTAGCGGGAGGGGGAAGGATCGACCGTGACAACTGAGGGGACTCTAGTCGTAATTCATGAACGAGGTCGCAATTATGCACTTCGGGAAGTGGATGCCACGAGAAGGCGTGAAGAGTAAGTAAAGGAAGTGCAAGTTCTGCAGCCCGAATCTGGGGCGTGACTCCAGTTTTGAGAATACGCAGTAGTTCACAAGGCCGTATCTGGCAGGGAATACAGTCACGTGCAAACGCCCTGGTAAGTGCTGGGGGTGAATTGCGCGATGTGCTCGACAATAGAAAGCTCTCCTGCGGCAGCCTGATTTGGTGTGCGTTTTAGAAAATCGTGGGGGGGGGTAAGTAGGCGCGGAAGATCTTGCATAAGTGGAACACGCTCAGCAGCCAAATCTCGATTTCCCGCACATCACAGGCGAAGTTTTTTTTTGTTTTTTTTTTTTTTTTTTTTTGGGAGAGATCTGGAGGGAGCGAGGGGACGGAAGGCAGCCGGGAATGTTGTTAGGTGCATAAGTTCTTTAAGGTCCCTGCGATGGGCTGCACGAGGAGCTAGCACGGAAAGTACTTGTTCCTCAACCCGATCTTGGGTATTGGGCATAGCACGGTAGTCCGGAAGATCAGCTGCGATAGAGCAGACTGAATTCAGTCGATGACACGGACACGGGCAGATGATCTGGGAGGATGATGGTGCGAATACGCGGGAAGAATAACATAATTCGTACGTCCTGCAATCCTTAGCTTGGCCTGTCGCATACGATTGTTCCGGAAATTGCCAGTCTAAGTTCTGGCGGTGGAAAGCATAGAGCGGGAGCGTCCAACAGCTGCCTCTGGAGTCGGGGAGTCGGGAAACGACCACTCTGGGGCGTTAGGTGAGAATGGGAGACGGTTGAGAGGAATTTAATACCACGCTGCTAAGCACCACCTACGGAATTGGGGAGTCGAAGACAGTGTAAGGTTGGTACAAAAGGAGGGGAGGCACAGCCGAACGTCACTGGTTGCTATCACGAAGGGTGGTTACACAAACAAGTTGAAGGGGCAGCCTAGTGAACACTTGAAAGCCAAAGGGTGAACTATGGCAAACCCTGGGGGTAGTGGGGAGGCACTCCCTAACCCGCACGCAATCCCCAGTGACTGGGACAGAGTCACGAACTTTGTTGAATGTTGCTATGATGAGGGGGTTTGCCCGCAGGAAGGAAATTTGGGTACTGTGGTGGAGGATGAGGAAGGAAGGCGTTTCGTGGTGAATGAGGAAGTGAACAAAGTAAAGGATCAATGGCTGAGGGAGAGATCAGTAATGGTAGTCTTCCAGGGGGAGGCAAGGAATCTGTCAAGGGCAGTAAAGGAAGACGTGATTAGAGCCTACGAGGATGGCTGGACGGCCAGGAAACTGTTTCAACCAGAAGCAAGGCGGGGAAGGGTCAAGTTTGAAGAGCAGAACGTCGCATCATATGTGGCTAAATCCAAGGACATAGCCACCTGGTTGATCAAGTAGAAGGAGATGAAAATTAAGCTTGACGACAATAAAGAGTACATCGTGACGTTCAAACCGCGACTATCGAAGAAGGAAATGCAAGACCACCGCATCCTGGAGGCGGAATCAAAGTTCTGGATAATGGCTCTGAGAGTGCCACTTAACGCTTACTACTTCCTGGGAAGTGCGGTTGTGGGTCTGTTTGAGGAAATCACAGAAATGCACCCGCCCGAATACGATAGAGATAGACCGAAACTGATGAATGTGAAGATCGACATGCCGACCATGACGTACTTGTAATTCAGTCACCAAAGGGGGAACGCTGGAAGGTGGACATAGTGACCCCATACACAGACTGGTGCCGCCGCTGCAGGTGGTACTTCCACACGGAAGACAGATGCCCCAGAAACAGACAGACAGAGGAGGGTCGCAGTAACAATGGAGAAAGACAGGGGGGGCACAAGGAGAGGTACAAACAACATTTGGAAAGTCAAGGTGGAGGGACGCAAGGAGTGACGAGGGAAAACGCAGGCAATCACGCGTCACAATAGCCCTCAAGAGAGGGACAGGGACGAATGGGGGAGGCGTCCAGACAGGAGGGAACCGACAGGAGGACCAACTTGGGTAGAACAAGTGGCTCCGGGGGCCCTGCCCCCCGGGGCCCCAGCCAAGTGCTGGGGGGTGAGGCAAGGGAAGCTAATGGGGATGGGAGGGACACACACTGGTCAGAACGGGTGTACAAGGGTTCAAGAGACCAGCAGGAAGAGGAGTTGAGGCACACCCAGTTTCAAGTGGAGGAGACGTACTCAAGGCCACAGAGATGGGGGGAAGCACAAGAGAGGGAACAGGGAAGAACTTTCACACATCCGTGGTCCATGAGAGAAGAGTGGACACAGAGTAACGCGCAGGGGCTTGTCAACGAGGCTGGCCCCAGTGGAACGCCTTGGGGTGAACTGGGTAATGCTCGGATGCATGCGCATTGGCAAGACCCGTATTCTGGGTATCAAGAAATGAGACCAGGGAATGGGTTTCAGCACTGCATCGCACCGCCTCCCCGCACGCAACAGATCCAGATTGAGATGCCGATCCCCGGCTATCCTTCGGAAGCCTATGATTGGAGAAACAACGTACCGCAGCCCTCGGGCAGAGGGGGACCGCCTCTGTGTCATAGCAGATGGGAGGAGAGAGGAGGATCGATAAGAAGAACGCAGAAAGGATACAATGGGAGGTGGGAAACAGGCAGGGAGGATAGCTAGCATAACAGAGGAGATACGTCGCAACCCTGGCGCCGTAACATGACAACTCAATGTCCGGGAATCAGAGAAGAGGGGGGCAGCCAGGGACACTGGGACGGGGTGACACCGGACAGAAGAAAAGAAAAAGCAAGGGTGGATCTGCCAAGGACGCCGGAATCATCGCAGTCAAGAATCAGGTGGGGAAGTGACTGCTTCGAAGACTATGGGGATACACGCAAAGCGGACGTTACATCTTCTGTGGAGAGTTCAGCAGAGTCGGGGGTTAGGAAGCAGACGGGCCAAGTCAAGTGCAGTGGAAGAATACCGGACAAGATTCAGTGTGCAGCCACATTGGAGAGGAACCAAATGGAAGCGGTGGAGAGGTGCTTAGTCCCAATTTTGTGCACGAGTTCTGAGGACGGGGTGAAGCTCCTATCTCTATTGAACACAGAAGGGGTTCCTCAGATCCCCTCCAAGGTGATCGATAAAACCCCAACACCGCCAATGATCATGGGTGCGGTAAGATCACTGTACGGGGAACATGTCCCTGTTTGGTTAATACCGAAGTCCACAATGGCTCACGTGATAGTGGAGACTGTGCAGGGGTATAGCAAGTTCTATTTCCCGCTTCGTGATGCGCGGATAGCCCCGGAGACAGCAACTCTGCTCAGCCAGACGGGAGTACGCAGTTTCCATGTGGACCTACTGAGGGAGAGGAATTGGCAGGAACTGGAAAAAATCCAGGTTCTGTCGGGTATCTCAGCCATGGTCCTGGTGAATGTCAATGAGAAGCTCATGAATGAAGAAAACCTCCTTTCCGGTTTTCTAGCGACCAGTTTGATTGAAGATTGGCGTTCTTCAACAGAAACAAGTTCTGCTAAAGGAAGTTCGCAGTGTCACTCAAGAAGCTCTATCAGAACAAGCAGCAGAGCGGCTTCCCGGAGAGAGACAACACTACCTTCCCGCATCCAAGACAAGGCGGAGAAAATAACAGAGAATGAAGAAAATTAGAGCGGTAACTTGGAACGTGCGGGGACTCGGGGATACCAATGGGAGAATGAAACGGAGGAGACTGAAGTCGTCGATTCACGAGTGGAAGGTTAACTGCGTTTTTCTGCAGGAATCTAAGTTAAATGAGACTAAATTGAAAGAGTTTGAGGTGTGGTGGGACGGGCCACAAGTGTGGTCCCCAGCACAAGGAACAAGAGGGGGAGTAGGGATCCTGCTCCACCGGGACCTGCAGGCACACGTAATTGACACAAAGGCGGACATCTGGGGGAGATGGGCGTGGATGAAGGTAGAGATTGGAGGGGAGGCCTGGGTACTTATGACAGTTTATGCTCCAACAGCAGTCAGCGAGAGAGTCAGGTTCATAGCCAGGCTGATGACGCAGGTACCGAAAACGGACAGGTTGTTGTTAGCGGGAGACTGGAATGTGTCCCTAGATGAGGCTCTCCGACCAAACTCAAGGACAGCAGAACGCAACGACGTCAGGGCACTGTTGGAATTCTGCACAGAGTTATCACTGACCGATCCATTCCCGGTACTTACCCGGATGACCCAGGCTACTCCTGGTTCTCAAATCTGCATAATGACAGACGGACTATCACGAGAAGACGACTGGACTTCTACCTCCTCAGCGAACAAGTAATGGAGAACGTTGTCATGACCAGGCAGGCAGGCCACCCGATGTCGGACCACAAACGTGTGGTGGCGGACATACGGATAAAGACGGGAATTGAGAGGGGGAGAGGCTTTTTCCGGTTAAACAGCTAGGTTCTCGAGGAACCAGGGATCATGGAATGGGTTGAAAATCACATGGAAGGATGGAAAGATGCTAGACAGCATTTCGAAACGCACGCAGAGTGGCTAGACGGGGGCCAAGCAATCACGTCCGGGGTTCTTGATGTATGTTCCCGGATCTTGGCAAGGAGTAGGAATAAGAGAGAAGCGGAGTGTCTCAGGAGGATTGAGGAGGCAGAAGATAAGATGGAGGGGCATCCCATCTCAACTACGGTGTGGGCAGCGGAGCGGGAAAGGAGGATGGGTGACTGGGACAGGATGCAGGTGGAGAAACAACAAAGATGGGTGCAAATCCTGAAGGTAAAGGGAGTGGAAACGAACGATAAAGTGAGCAAGGAATCCTTTCAAAAACTCCAGCCAAGACGTGCACAGTAGCAAATGATAGAGTTGAGACACCCATTTGAAGATGCAGCCCCCACAGCCTGTACGGCGGTAGGGATGTTGAAGTACGCGAACCTGTACTATGAAGACATTCTTAGGACCAGAAGACTGAACGAGGAAGTGGACACAGACCTGTCTCAGCAATCAGATATGTGGGAGGACACATCAGTACAGCTAAGCACAGCAGCGAAGCTAGATATGGACAGGCCGGTCACCCTGGAGGAACTCACCCAAACAGTGAAAACTATGGCGCGAGGCAAGTCCCCAGAAGTTGACGGCCTTACCGTAGAGTTCTACTCCGCGAACTGGGGCGTGTTCGGGCCGCTACTAGTGGAGCTGTACAACGAAGTGTTGGTAGGAGGGAGACTGGGGAAAGGGATGACTCACGGGGTGATCACATTGCTGTTCAAAAAAGGTGACAAGTCTGTGGTCAAAAACTGGCGCCCGATGTCCCTGTTGAATGTGTCCTATAAGATCCTCGCAAAGTCGCTGGCACGCAGACTATCCAAGCACCTTCCGAAATTGGTAGAAAATGACCAGGGGGCGTTTGTGCAAAGGCGGTCTATATTTAACAACTATGTGACTGCTATAGAAACTCTGGAGATCGTGCAGTCCGAGGGCTTAGACACCGCAGTCTTGCTGCTAGACCTGGAAAAAGCGTACGACAAGGTGGGTTGGACATTTCTCCTTACCACCTTGAAGAAGATGGGGTTTGGGACTGGGTTCTGCGTGTGGATCAAGGCAATGTACATGAGTTCCTCATCCGCGGTGATGATCAACGGGCACCTCTCAAGACCGCGTCAACTGTCACGTTCGCTAAGACAAGGTTGCCCCCTTGCCCCACTGGTCTTCGTGTTGCAGATGGAGGTATTGCTCAACAGAGTTCGGCGCAATTCTGACATCACTGCACAATGGAGAGGAGTGCAGGGTAAAAGCATTGGCGGACGACCTGTTTGCAGTAAGTGACAACACACCCAGCTCTTTGTTGGCACTAAGGGGCATCCTAAGGGAGTACTCCACTCTCTCGGAGGCTTCGGTGAACTGGCACAAATCTACCTACTTACTACCAGAGCAGTTTTCCCTCAGCGTAGAAGGGGGATGAAAAGGGTGGAAAAGGGGGAAGAGGAAAGATTTCTCGGGGTGTTGATCAGCCTTCAGGTGGGGACATCAGCACAAGAGTTAGTCCTGCAGCAGCATATTGTAAGCTCAACATGTGGGGAATTGTCTGGCACCTGTCACTGATAGGGAGGGCTCTGGTTGCTAATGTTGCACTGTTTTCCATATTATGGTTTGTGCCCACGGTTAGAGAACTAGCAGCTGGGGTGTTAAAAGCGATCAAACGCCTGGTGGCTAGGTTCCTGTGGAAACCACGGGCGAAATCCACAGAAGGCTTCATTTCGAAGGTTGCACTGGACACTTTAACCTTCCCACGAGCGAAGGGAGGATTGGGATTAGTGGACCCGGCCAAAAAAAACCAGGCGCAGCTACGGGGCTGGCTGGCCAAAGCAGCAAACTGCAGTACCAGGGAACAATGGATGACGCTAGCGGAAAGGATCCTGATGATGGAATGGGGGCTCAGCAGACCAAAGGATGTGTGGTCCTGCCTTTTAATGCCCTCATTTCGGAAAAAAAAACTCAAGTCAAGGTTTTGGGAAGCAGTCCGAAAGGCATGGAAACAACACCCGCCGGACGTTCGGAATCCGTCCACGACAAGGGATGAGGTGCTGGATCAGCTGGTGTTTGACAATGCAGAGATTCGAGACAGTTCCGGAAACATGCTGGTAGCAGATGGTTCCCCAGGAACCTTTGGGCTTGCATGGGTCAAGAGGGGAATAGTCAAGATCGAAGATCTGTGGTCCACAACCACGGGGAGTTGGAGGACTCTAGGTGAGATAAAGAGTATCTTAAGAGGGCTACAAAGGGTGGAAGAGCACTGGAGGACGGTACTACAGTCAATCCCTGCAGATTGGTTGTTGAAATTGGGTCCAGAGGGAGTAGACCCCACCAGAACTTGGTACCTCTCAAGCGCGGAAGATGCTGAGAAAGTGCTTTGGAAGGTTAAGGAAGTGTTACCCAGTGGATTCAGGAGGGTTGAGAGGTGGCGCAGTGGGGGAACCTCGAACTCTCTATGCCTATTGGAAGAGGTGACAGTGCGGGCCTGGGACAATCCAGCACAGGTTAGGGTGGTGGAAACGAACAGGAGGGCCCGCACAAGGAAGGCTTCGTACTGGATTGGAGAAACAACGCTAAGGAGCAAGGCCTTGCAGGCTCCAACCTAAGAGACAGGACGGTCGACCCTTTTGATTTCCTCGGCGCAAGTCATCAATGGGCAGAGTCACCGGAGGAGCCAGCCGGGTCAAGGTCGTCACCACAACAATCTTTTGCAGCAGCATCTGATAGGCCCGCGCAGAAGGGGCAGTCGGGAGCTGACAGAGACTGCGATCACTCTAGCGACCCTTTCTTCAATTCCCTGCCAATGTCAGCACAAGCACAGTCTTCCGTTGGACAGACCGGAGAATCGGAAGCAATGGGTGAGGATGCTCTCGATCCGTTCGGCTTTATGTTAGGTGGAAAGGGGAAGCAAGCAGAGACGAGAGATCCGGACCCTGCATCTCAACGGCCGACAGATGCAGGACCACGAAAGACAGAATCTTCTGCCCCTGTCCCCACGTCCATAGATGATCTGTTTGGGTTTGTGTGGAGTGTCGAGGGGCAAGAGCAGCCAACACACATAACAGCACAGCAACATTCAGCACCATCCGCATCTGCCGACCCTTTTATGGGTGTCGATTGGATATTCGATGCCCCCTCGCCGGTTAACCATCCAGATGTGAAGGAGGGAGCTCCTTCCGCGCAGCAGCAGCACTCTGATCCCTTCCTAAACATGTTTAGCAGTGGGTTCAGCTCTGGTGGTCCCCTCCCACCCAATACAACCACAACTGCTAGAGGAGAAGAGTACGGCACTACTGGGATGTCATCGTCGGACCCTGCGACTAATAGGGCTGGAGGCAACATGGCAGGTACATCTTCCGCTGCGAACCCAGTGGAGGAGGAGGAGGATCCTGATGGCGTAATGCAACCCCCTTCTGGCTTGTCCCTTCCAGCAGCGAAGAGGCGAGGAGAGAAGTTCTTCAGGCACGGAAACTTTGCAGAAGCGCTGAAGTACTTCACATGGGTACTGATGCTAGCGGACGTGCGCGGACCGATGGGCGTTGAGTTTTTCGGGACTGCCGACATTTTACTGAAGCGTGCCGCATGTTACAATGGGATTGGGAGCTATAGAAAGGCCGTTCAAGACTGCACGAAAGTGAGAAATGAAAAAAAAAAAAAAAAAAAAGGAAAAAAAGAAAGGTGAGAGATGCTGCTTTCTGCCAGTGCTTGACAAAGAAGCATTCATTTGACACCACTATATATTTCCAGACCCCCTAAGACTCCCTACTTAGTCATCTGGGCCCCCAAGATATGCTCAGTTGCAGTCTGGGTGGGTGGGTCCCAAGGGAGCTCAGCTTCGAAAGATTGCCCTCGCATGCCTAAGCACTCTCGTGGCCTGTGTCCATCTGATTTCAGCTGGTTTCGAACTCTGGTCTGGATCTCCACAATTCATAGGTGTAATAATAATTGAGCTCGGCCCGTTGGTTGTGTCCTGTGATACCCCTGAAGGTCCTAAAGCAACTAAAAAAAAAAAAAAAAAAAAAAAAAAAAAAAAAAAAAAAAAAAAAAAAAAAAAAAAAAAAAAAAAAAAAAAAAAAAAAAAAAAAAAAAAGTTTTAAAAAAATATTTTTTTTTTTTTTTTTTTTTTTTTTTTTAACAATTGATTAATTATAAAAGTGGATACGAGGCCTGGGACCTCACAATTCAACCCGAGATATTGACAGCATCAGCCAGCTTAGCTTACAGGCAAATGCCTGCGGAAAGTTCAGACTAACAACTTTCCAGATCCCTACCTTCGACCTTTTAAAGTTTTGCTTTCCAAGAACCATCCCAGCAAGCTAAGTCCAACCTCTGAACTTTTGTAACTTGAAGGCTATTACTACTGCAATCCATGTCCCAGAGCTTCAAATTTTAGTTCCATAATAAAACATCTCATACCCCCTGGATGGACAACACAGTGGACTCCTATATTAAGCTAATCTAGGGTTAACTCGGCCCGGAGGACTGAGGTCCCGGTCCTACAGACACTCTCCTGGCGGCCCACAACGGCCCTAACAGGGACCGAGTGTCCTGGTCCCAGTGGTCCGGAACTACTAGCCCTATTATCCCTCTCCTGGTGCTTGTCGTGGCCTCACCGAGCCAGGAGCCAGATACCGTGTACTCTTCTGCCCTTCTATCTCTACCTGCTACCTCTGACTATCTTCACCTCTGCCTCCTTACACCGTGAGATATCGCTATCCCCCCACGGCCCTTGGATATCCCCTCATCCCCCCGGGTTGTTTAGCTCCTGAACCCAGCGTGATATGCTTAGGTTCCCTCGTGCATCAATGCAGGCCAACTTCTGGTTACAGGCCAAGGTGCGTCTGAACCATCTCAATTGACCTCTTGAACCTTTCCCAGCTTTGGCTTTCTGCCTCCAATCGACCCGAATTGCCTGCTCAATCCCCTGTTTAATACAACGCTTGATCTCCAGGTTTGAGAGCGGTTTCTTCTGGAATCGTGCTCTGTTGCTGTCCCTCCAGACCACTTCACAGATAATACCTCTTGTGACATGCGCAACATACCCCCACCCCTTATGGCCCTTAACATCTGTAGGCAAGAAACCCAACAACACCCACCTCTCACTCCAGCTGATAGATTGGTCACCGAACTTCGACCAGTGAAAGGCCCACCATGCCCATACTCGCTTAGACGCTGGACAGTCCCACCACAAGTGCCTGGTTGATTCAAATGACCGTCTGCACCTTGAGCAGCCCAGGTCTACAGCCATACCTCTGCTCGCCAGCCATACCGCCGATGGTGTGACCATCAGAGACAGCAACCACAATACACTCACTTGCTTACCGTTTGGCAGTTCGATCAGGATATTCCAGTCTGTCGAACTCTGGACCTGCTTGGGAGAGGTCTTCACTCCATACTGCCTGCCACCTAGCGGTGGCGATCTGGGCTGGGGTTCTCCTGTTGGGGGCTGCTCTCAAATATCCCTGGGCAGTTGAGTAGTCCACCAGACTCAACGGTGCGTCTTCCCCTGTAGTGGGCGACCAGCTCCAAGATAAGGGGTCAATCTGCAGTGGATCTGTGGTCGTGTTCTTCTCTGTCGCGCCATCCGGTGGGAGGTTGTCACTACCAGTGGTTCCTTGACTCTTTCTCGTGTCAACCGGTGAAGAATTTCCCGGCCCTGACACCCTGCCCCAACTCTTAGGACCGTCAGTACCATAACCGAAGCCAGAAGGACCACTGTCTGCCCCAAAAACATCATCCTCGATATCGCCAGCCATCGGCTGTGCGGAATGCTGTTTCTCAACTCTGCTCTGACCACCAGAACCTCTAAGACCAAAATCGAAACCAAACCCAAAAGGATCATTATCGGCCTCGGCATCAGGCTCTTGACCAACTCTCTCCATTGGTTGGTGAGCTTGGTTCTCATCCGTTCGCGATGAACTGCTGGAAGTTTTTCCTCCGATCGAATCCTCATGGTGCGCAGAACTTGGACCATTCTTGGGCTCCCTGATGCATGGCGCATCCCAACTCATCAAATCGTCAATGATGCCCCCATCGCTTTCTCGCGTGCGCGATTCGTTCCTCTGACTCCCTGAGCCAAAGAAAGCGAGAGGATCATCTCTATCCAAACCAATACCATCGTCCTCGGCGAAATGCTCCTCGGGAGGAGGACCTGAAACTGCTGATTTAAAAGGAGGAAGAGGATCTTCTTTGCCTGGACTGGACTGGGTCTGCTTCATTCCGCCATCATCACCCTCGCCTTCATCCTCTCCTAAGATGGGGCTGCTTTTTGTTGCTGATGGTGATACCTGCGGGTGCTCGGTGCCCAACCCCATGAAATCAAAAGGATCACTAGGGCGTGAGGAGGTTTCCCCAGCAACATTGCCTTTCTCTCGATTCCTTTGTAAGACAGGACTGCTTTCGACTGACGATACCTGTGGGCCTTCAGCGGCCAACCCCAGAAAATCAAAAGGATCAGCATAGCGTGAAAAGTTTTCTCCAGCCCGTGGGCTTGCCCCAAGGCCAGCTGACACAGAGGCAGAAAAGGGGTCGCTGCCTTGACCCTGCTGTTGCTGCTGCTGCTGTGCAGAGTTTTTCCGAACAGCATCACCTTCTTCTTCGCTTCTTTGTGAGACGAAACTACTTTTTGCTGACGATACATGTGGGAGTTCGGCAGCCAACCCCAGAAAATCAAAAGGATCGGCATGGTCTCAGCAGTGTTCTCCAGCATGTGGGCTTGCCCCAAGACCTGCTGACAGAGAAGCAGAAAAGGGGTAACTGCCTTGACCCCCCTGCTGCTGCCGTGATGACATCCCAGCCTGGCACCCTGGAGACTCTGTAAGGGGTGATGAGCGATCCTGGGGTGTGCTGGGAAAACCAAACAGATCATCACCACAACATTTATTTTCCTGAGCTTCATCTCTTGAAGCTGGAGCAGCACCAAAAGAATCTGGTATGCTCATGCCGCTGACCTTCGAACGGACATCTGGGCCACCTTCTGCTCCCATGGTGCTAACATTCGGCGATGAGCGTTCACCTGCAGGGGCAGCAGCATGCTCCATGGACAGCATCTCAGGTATGGCCGGCTCACCAGCTGACACGTCTGCGGACTTCCTGGCAGGCCCTACACCCAGGATATCTAGCGGATCGTCTGTAAGGCCCAAATCTCTGCGATTTTTGGAGAGTTGAGGAGGTATTACATCTTCTTCAGCAACAAATGCGAAAGGCTCTGTGGCAATGTCCGCCTCCTTCGCTGGGGACGCACGGTTCCCTGCATTGGACAAGGTATAAGACCAATCGCCAAAACCATAATTGTCGGTTTCTTCCACCGTTCCACAGGAAGCTAACGAATCCGAGCTAGCGGTTTTTCGTGAGCCTCCATGTACATTCTGTGACAAAGAAGCTGGTATAGAGGGATCATCATGGTGTTTTTTTTTTTTTTTTTTGGTCCCGATGCATTCCTTGCGCATGGGGCGCTTTAATTCCGATTGCTACCCGCCTGCGGTTTCTATATGGTTCCGACTGCTTTTCGATTTGTATTGCGCGCAGACGCCGCCATAGTCTAAAGCTCATCGCCGCGACGATAGATCGTCATCTGTTGCCATTGCGTGTGGGTCGCCATTGCATCTCCTTAGTCCTGATCGCGGGAAGTGAAGCTGCAGCTGCCCGGAGCTGCTTGGTGCACCTGTGGGACTTGGTGTCTTGCGTGCGCGCCTCAGCTATTTGCGCAGAGATCACAAGTCGGCTATGGCTGCAGCAATGGCGTCGGCTACCTCCTGGTGCACTGTTGAGAGCTTTGGTGTACCTGTGGGACCTGGTGTCTTGAGTGTGCGGCTCAGCTGTTTGTGCAGAGATCACAAGTCAGCTATGGTTGCAGCGATGGCGTCGCCTACCTCCTGGTGCACTATTGCCAGCCTTGCTCTGCAGTCTCGCGCGGCAATCAATCAGAAAAAATCAATCAAACAATCAATCAATCAATCAATCAATCAATCCTATCATCCAATCAGTCAATCAAATCAAGCAATTAATGAGTCGGTCAGGAATGTCCGATCGATATCGACCCATCTTTCGAGATCTAGGTACTGCATATCGGAACGTATTGTTTCCCGCGTTTTTCTTAACGGTGTGGCTTGTGTGTCCAGATGAAACGTTTCTCGCCAAAACAGTTGGCGCTAAACATTAGAGTCCTGGTCGACATAGTTCCGCAAAAGCGAAGCATAGACTGAGGTTCCTTCCTCTTTTATTATATATATATATATATATCGTCATATATATATATATATATATATATATATATATATATATATATATATATATCGTCACAAACAGAAATGCCCGGTAAAACCGTAGGCAGAGAGAGAGAAGAGGACAACAAAC